GATCATCTGAAAGCTGAGATCCTCAAAAACGATGAAAATTGAACCCATGTGTATCCTTAGTATAGTCTGGCACTCACATTGTTGCTGATTATAGGAATTCAATGTTTATAATTTGCATTCTTTCCCACACTTGCTTTTTTTCTGCATTGAAGTAAAAACTCACTTGGTCTTACCATAATATAATTTAGACTGTTGAGGGCAAGACTGCTCCTTTGTGAGAAAAAACAAAATCCAAGCATGAGAGACCAATTCTTGTCTTTCATTGCGAAATGATAGAAACAGGAGAAGATACAGTCCAAATTATACACAGGAAGGAGCTGGAAATAAAAATTAACACCTTAAATTTCCTAAGTTCTTTGAGATAATCATGACTTGGACTCAGAGTACAAAGGAATTTGATACATTTTGCTGAGCAGCTGCCCAAAGTGAACAGAGAGGTCACAAACATACAACAGGAGACTTGTGCAGGATCTACTCTTTGTGGTGCTCTTCAAATGGATAGCATAATTGCAAAAAAGCAACAGCAGATCTAGAATCATCCAGAAACAAACAAACCAACCAAACCAAACCACTTTCTCCAGACCCAAACTCGGTTCTTAGAATCACCCTCATGGTTTATGCATCAGCTTTTAGGTACAGGCAGGTTACTGGCTTCATTGGTACAACAGAAACGTGAGCAAGCCTGAAAGCCTACTTCTTATTTTACTTATTATCTTCCCACTGCCAATGGTAAGCCCTCTGGCCCCAGCTGTGCTGACATGTCTGAAAGGTGCGTCACTTAGTCCAAAAAAAGCTGGCAGCAGCACAGCCTGACTATCAGCTGGCTTCGGGGGGGCTCATACAAATGAAAGCAGGACAGGGGGAGGCACCTGAGGTGCACCTGCAGCCAGAGCACTGAGAGATGAGTGAGCAGGCATAAAGGTAACAGACCATGCACCCTGCTGGGCATAAGCCAGGAGGTCTGGATGTCTTTGTACTTTTTAGCCTACTGTATGAAGAGCTTATGGTCTTCTAGTCCTACTTTCTTTGAGTAATATATAAGTGCCCAATTCCTGACCAGCCATGCTAAAGCAAAAGTGAGTAACATGGGCAGGGTGTTTGTCCAAAACATATTTTCACTCAACTGAGAAAATGCACCTTGAGGGAACTACATTAATTTGCTGAATTAGGACCAGGGTCTGCCAGGGCTCCAGAGAACAAAACTGTGATGTGGATAAGAAGGCAGATCACACCTGCAGACAAAGGGAGCCAGTGTACTGCAGGAGGCATTTTGAGCATCCAAGCAGCTCAGAAACCTCTGGTTAAAACTAATTGTGTGTTCCTTAAGAGTGCTCCAGCAAATACCAGAGGGAACAGGTGGCTCAGCAGTCGTGCTTAGGCCTATGCATACATTAACAGGACGTAGCTGAATGTGAGCACTCAGACACTGAATTAGGCACACCAACACCTATTTCAATCAGGCTGCCAGCTTTTGGCTCCAGCTTCTAGTCTGGGCCAAATCATATGATCTTAATAGTGTGCAAGTTGTGCCAAGGGTGACTGAGCACAAATGAAGCCACTAAGCCCATCTGACACTGCTGATTAAGCTCCACCCTCAACAGCAACTACCAAGACATAAAACAAAGATTGATCAATGTTCAAATGTAGTAGGGCTCCATGCTTATAAAAGAGCACATTTTTAAAGCATTGCTTCTTATACAAAGTTTCTTCCACTGTTCCAATTTTTTCCCAGTATTTTTAATGCTTTAATGAAGAATGGAAAGATAAAACATCCTCCCTTCCCCTTCTCTAATGTGGTAAGCAGTATTTTGAGAGGTGGCTCCTACAAATTTTTTAATCAGGTATTTTCCCACCCTTCAGATGTTTACAAACTGAACACTTGACTTTTAGCTGTTCTTCCCAAACTATGAAAAAGCTTAAGTCCTTAAATTAGGCTATCCCTAACTTTCCTACAACCTCAGAAGGTATGGCCTCTCTGTAAACCAGAATTCAAAAAGATAAGTCACGTTGAAGGAAAGTCCTTCCCAGCAAATCAGAAAGTCCCAGTATTCAAAGTCTGTACAGAGAAGGAACTTAAGAAGAAAAGAAAAGCTGTGCTGCTTTACAAACTACACATCTGGCTCTGAAGAGCAATCAACAGCTCACAGTAGGTATGAGGTATAACAGAACTGGAAACTGCTGTTGTGGGAACTGTCAGCAGTGGAAGCCAAAGTGTTTTAGGCACTCGGTGGCACCTTTATACTGGCTGTTTACTTGGTGACAGCCTGTCCTACAGCCCTTGTACACGAGGCCTCGTTTCTTCTTTGAAGGTCTGCCATGAGACCATCTTGCAACTCAGCTCTCCCATCCAATAATAAATAAATCCCAAAAAGAACAAGTAAGGCAAGAACTGATCCTGTACAGTAGATAAACTTCAGAAGGGATAATGTAACTGTTCTTGTTATCAGACCTGCTGCTCCAAAATAATAAATTACAGCAAAACCTTACAGTGCACTGTAGGCTGCTCAGGAACCATTGCATTTGTCAAAATTCATTTACTTAGAATAAAACATAGGAGCTTCTAAAGGCAGTATGTCAATTTCCTATGCCTTACAGGTACAGACAAACACATACCAGTGACATGGGTTGATTTACACAATTATTGCAAAATACAATACTTTGCAATCAATACAGAGCAATTCTATTCAAAAATTATTAAATATGTGGTAACATCTGTGTCCGCTTGTGATAACAAAGTAAAAAAAATTAAAGTTTTAACAGCTGGAACATCAAATTATGATCTTCACAGAAGAGTAACAAAAGAATTGGTTGAAACCATGCTCAAATATTTAATAAGATGTGGTATATGATCTGTGCAGCAACCTTAATACTGGAATTCAGTACTCAACATGAGCTCTGGTTCATAGTATAAATCTATTTTATAACTCTCCATTTTTAGTTAATCTACTACTTCATGTTCTTGCCACTACCCTCTGCTTACACCACGCTGCCTCAAATTAGCCTTCCTTCAATGACTGACACTGATGGACAGCCTCTGGAGGGCCAATTCCAATCTCTCCACAGCAGCACGGGAGATCGCTGGAGGACAGAGATAGGAAAGAACATCAAAAGCAGGAAAGCAGGAACGAGAGGCTGTGGCAGAACAAGTAGTTTAAAACAGGACAGCACATCCATGACTGTTACAAAACACTGTTCAAGCAGTAGAACTCACACATGGATGCTTGCTGCTAAACAGCTCAGTGATTTGTCATTCATAGGTGTTACACACATACAGAATTCAGCAACAGCACAGTAGCTGATAAAACTGGAATCACTAATTTTACAGCAGTGATCAAAAGCACCTTTCCAATGCCTTCCAGTGCAAAGCTCATATCCAAAGCGATGGGCTGAAAATGCAGTTGTCAGTCAGTGGAGGATCTGTGAGAACACATGTGAATTCCAGCCAGAACTGCTGATAGAGGAGACAAAGTGCCATTTACCAAGCAGCACTTGAATAGTTTACTTAAGTTTCCCTTTTCCCTAGCAAACTCTCTTTTAAAGAAAGAAAAAACCCCAAAAACACAAGCAAAAAAAAAAAAAACAAAAAAACAAAAAAACAAACAAACCAAATAACAACAACAACAAAAAAAACAAAACCCCAAAAAAACCCAAACCAAAAAACCCCCCAAAACAAATGACAACAAAAAAAACCCCCAAACAACCAAGACCCTCCCACCCCTCCCCAATGAATCAACACACACAAAAAACCCAACCAAACACAAAAATTTAAAGTAAAAAGACTTAATTTGAAATAATTTAAATGTGTTGTCAAACAACATTTTTACAGGACAGAGCTGTTGTAATAGTATACAGAAGTCAGCTTCCATCAAGATGACACTTCAATATTTCTCTTTCCAGTATTTTTAGGGTGCAGTTCAGCAATATGAGCACCAGGCCTACATTTACAAAATATGTGCTTGTCCCCACAGGCAGGTAGATGTTGTACTTCAGCATCTGTTTACACACATAAGCTTTGTTTACATAGTTGGCGTGTATACCCCTTGCAAGTACAAAATAGGCTCTCACATTGGAAAACCACAGTACTTAAAATACCTAAACCATTAGATTTCAAATCTCTTGCTTTGGTATTGAGTCAATAGAAAATTTACAATGTCATTCTTCAGTCTTACACAGACTGAGTTTTTAACCAAGGAAATAAAAGAAATAAGTCTCAGTATCCAAAGAAATCTACAAATACATTCATCAATATGTAGTACATTACAAATACAAAGGCAATATATGGAATTGCTATAGTATGAATGAAAACCAAGTTGTTGTAGGAGAGCCCGAAAGTCTTCCTAACATATTTTTTCATGTAACATTAAATGTCACTGTGGCAGTGATGATACAGCAGCTTCTACTACATTACTTTCCAAGTTGTACACTCCATGTTTGATTGAAAAGCAGGATAGGAAATTAAAGGCCTCTGAAGAGCTCAGCAGCAACACTTAAGTGCATTGCAAACATTGATAATCTGTGGCACATAGGAATTCATGGATTACACAGGATACTTTCTTCTATTTACAGTATCATACACTTGTATAAAAGTCTCTGCTGCATTTTTTCTTTAGTACCTAGCCTGTGGCAAATCACAGTAACATTAGTCAAAGAAAAAGCAAATCCTATCTTCTCATAAAGACTAAGTAACTAATGGGTATTACTTATCCTTGCTTAAGCTACCTACCCCTCTGAATGCCTTGAATCCCAAAACTTAATTGGCACAAAAACATTTTGATAACTTAATACAGAAACTGATTGCTCATGATTGCTTAACCTCTTGACTTAATCATTACAATCACTGCTGGAGAATTATCCACTCTGTTAGATGTCACAATTAATATATTAAAAAAACCCCAAAAGAACACCCAGACAAAAAGTAAATCACCCCTCTCAAAAAAAAAAAAAAAAAAAAAAAAAACAAAAAAAACAAAAAAAAAGCAATGTTTAAGATCAGTCCTGCAAGAAAGAAAAGAAAGAGACTTGGCTTTTGAGTATCTGATACACGACAGGAAACACCAGTGCAATGGGGTCTATCACATCATGCTGCCGCTCAGACACCAATGACTACTGCAAGTCTTCACAAATAATTACATTTATGGAGATAGTAAACAACTCAGCTTCAGCAAAAAACTGCCTTATCACCAAGCTCAGTAGGGCATCTGAGCCTTCAAAGCAGTTTCTGGTATCAGTCTGAAGACAATAGGATTTCTGGGTCCAGCTAGGATGGAAGCAAATAGAAGGAAGTAGGAAGAAACATTGTACACAATGTGGCACAGATGAAAAAAAGACATATTTACACTTGAAAATGCAAAACACACTAGAGTAGAGGAGGAAAAACAATGAAATAACATGACCTTTGTCACTGAGGACAGGAGGCGTGGCCCTCTACTATGACGCAGATTTTTATATATGTATTTTAAAAATTTTAAAAAATTGAATATGTACGACTCAAGCAGGAGGACAATACAGAACAAAAAAAATCTCTGTGTTTGAAGATCAATTTCACATCCTTTACAAGAAACCTGGACCCATTTCCTTCCTGGTAAAACCCTGACATAAGGGCTAAAGAGCCTTTAAATAAAAGCAAGCAATACGAAATTTTTAAATACTTACTAACAGTTGCATGGGAAAGTTTTGTTGTGAGACTGAGAAAGAAGGGCAGAGCTACTTTTAGTCAAAGGGTTGCATACTCTTCTAGAAAAAACACAATAAACCAAACCAAAAAAAATTCAATCAACTACACCAACTTCAGTATCAGTTTACTAACCTTTGGGTTGAAATCCTCAACTAGTCTATTAAAAATGGCCTTGCAACACCTGCACACAAAACAGGGAATACCTGCTATGATAAAATGACTTTTTTTTCCAATATACCCCTCATCAACTTTTGATGCCACACACTGAAGAAACTAGATTTATATCAGTGAATGGCAAGTGTCATCAGGCAACGATCTGCACTACACTGGTGGCTCCATCTTCATCATCCTTCTCTTCAACATCTCCTTTTTTAAACTTTAATTTAAAAATCAATCTTCCATTTGGTAATTCAGTGCCATGTCTGATCTTCCTTGTCACTTCTGGCCACACTGCAGGATGTCTATAGATACCATTCTTATTTCTTGCCAATTCCATTTGATACTTTTGATTTGGAGTGTCGACTCCTCCTTCTAGATGAATGGCTTTCACTATTGACTGAATGTTTTGGTGGACTATTGTCAGGACCTGCTGAGAAATAAATATTTATTTAATACATATACATATTTATTTAGTTGACACTGTCAAACTCCTATCCGAAAGGCAGTAAGGTTTTTTAGAGCTACAGTGCTAACAGTATGGATTATTTCAGGCTAATACAAATTGGTTGATACTTGTACTCCATCTAGTGGCCTATTTTTTTTTTTTAAAGCAATGTTTAAGACTCCTGTAAAATTCTTCCTTCTCCCCCGCTCCCCCCAAAAAAAAAATTAGAAGCTTGCTATAGCAGAGTGGTGAAACATCTTCCATTTTAAATCATATCAATATTTAAACCTCCTCATTTTTCTTAGTGGCAGGTACTACTATTAGAAATTAAGAATTATGTAAGCAAAGTCTTTTAAATATCTTTTAAGAGTATACTTCTAGATTTCCGTCTTTCAAATGAAAGAATATGTTTTATTCTGAGAAAAAATGGGAGGGCAGTGGGCACCAAAACAAGAAATCAAGAACAAAATGTGAAAGAAGCTTGAAGCCTGTAATTAATGAAGTAACAGGAAGTTACAGAGAAGGGGTCAGATTTCTCCAGCATGCATAAATGGGAAAAACATTCTGAGTTCAAATAATTTTTCTCCAAAATATAAAACTATAAAAGTCCACAAATTTACTAAACTGAGAATAAACATGCAGAAAAATCATGAATGAAATATAAAGAAAATCTGCTTTAGGTGCTTTTCAAGCTTATGATAAACAAGAAACATTTTTAATTTTACAAACACCTGGAACATAAACTCTGACAGATAACTTCCAGGTGTGAATTTTTGATATTTGTTCAAAAGCAAGATCACACCAAAAAGCCTACAAAGGAGGCAGATAACTGACCTCTAGTGTAGGGAAAAGAAATCAGAAAGAAGCTGCCTTTGCTTAGTGCAGAGAAAGCTGCTTATGACCATCAGGACTGCACTGACAGGGCAAGTGTCAGTAAGAACACAAGCTCCAGGGCCAATTGCTAACTATTTCTTAACAACCAGAAATAAAAGTCCAGCAAATCAAACATGCAATGTTCAGCGAGAAAACCTGTTCACAACAGCTATGAAATGCATAATGCCCAACACCTACAATAACGGCCTGGAGTAACAGCAGAAAAAAATCAGTTGACATATTAAAAAATAAATACATTTCCAAGAATCAGAATTTAAAAGTGAGCAAAGAAAAGTAGTTTTGCAGATTATTTATCTGCATTAGTCCTGCAGAGATGTTAAAACAAGTCCTGCTGAATCTAGGCAAGTTCCTCAAGCCTCATTTTCTAGTGCTGAGCCTTAATTATACCATTTCACGAATACAGCTACAGTAGTACCAATACCTCTGCTGAATTTAGAATGAAGCCAGGAAGCATCTGGACTGTATGGACTGTCTTCACTTTCTGATAAGGTCTGCAAAAACAAGGACATATGTCATTGGGATGCTGGTGGTTCATGTTGTCAGTACTCCTCCCATTTGCAACTGGACTTAGAAACTGTAGCAGAAGTCCTCATAAAACATTCAGACAGTACTTTGAACTTTTCCCTTCCTAGTCGGAAGGCACCACACAGATGATACAGTAAGAACTCACCACTTGCCACGTGATCTGTTGTGTAACCAAGTATTCTTAATATTCCCCTAGCATTCCACCTGTACAATGGGAACATTAGCTAACCATTCATCCTTGAACGCTTTGCTAAAATTACGGCCTCATTTTGAGTAACTAAGAGGACAGCATTCTTTAGAAACCACAGTGTAATTTGGGATTAGTCCAAGGCCTGCTGAATTCAGAGTTCTTTCTATTGACTTCAGTTACACTCTAGACCATCCCCCCTAATCCCTATTTATGCTAACTCTGGTAAAGAATTCCAAAATCTAGGCGCTTTGGAGTGTTAACTCTGGAATAAAAAAAAAAAACAAAAACAGGCTTCTTTTATACAAGTACCTTTTCTCGGTGGCCATAGTACTCTGCATACCAAACCATTCCATATAAACACAGGAAAGTTGTAAAGGCCTAAACAAGGGAGGAGAGAAGAAAAAGAACAAGAAAAACAACCTGGAAAACTTTTTCCAAATTCCTTGCTGATTCAAGGTCTCAGAGTCCCTGGAGATGCCACATTTAGACCTTCATGCTCTGTTTCTCCCTGTATCTTTTGTCAGGATGAGTAAGACTCATGCGTCAACTTCAAGCTACACACAGAGCCTGCCACCATGGGGTATGCAGAACAATTCTCAATGGAAGCACTAAAATACATCCAGATCACCCACAGGAAACACTGCCAGCAGGATTTCTGTCCACACTGTACAGCATCACACAAAGGCAGTTGGTAGGCACTTGTAGGTATATTATCAGGAGCCACCAGTCTGGGGGAAAACCAAATTTTCCTCCTCTCTGCCCCATGCTTCAGGCTAGGTTACATACTTAGTTTTGTGGTACTCTGATCTGAGAAGCAATTCAACACTTTTCTCCTCTGAAGTATCAGGAATAAAATCACCATGCTAAATAAGAGAACAATAAATTCTGACTCCCCATCACCTGTTCAAACAGTGTTCCCAATTAGAAAGAAGAAGTATTTATCTGTCAGCCCATTATAAATGCCTTATTTTTCACTGACCATGAAAAATGTGCTTGGCATCAGAGTTACAAGTCTGGCAAGACAAATGTCCATTTACTGTTATAAAATGGGCATTTCATGCTGCATTTGCAGTAATCACACTGAAGTACAGAAAGTTACAGGCTTAGTGAGAATGATTTGCTTGATAAATGAGGGTTGTTTATGTAGCTGTAAGACCTCAGTGTGGCACAACACACATTGCTTATTATCACTGTCCATTAACTCCTGTTCATTTCCAGCAGGCACTACAGCAAGCTCCACCAAAGCCAGGCTTGATCGAACTGACATGATCTCTCATCAAGATAAAGCATCCTAGAACTACTGCTTGTTTCATTGTTCAGCACACCAGTAATCTGCTATGTCAAGAAATGAGAAAAAAAGTTATTCTAGTCCCTTCAATGTGAGTTCTAAGCAATCCAGCATTTGTTTTTACTAGGACATGCATAAGGCTCTTTACCAGCATTGCCCCACAATGATCCCCTGCTGCCAGTGTTCCAGAGAGGAAGCTATTTAGATGCTTTCAATGCTTTTGTCATGCTTTATGTTTCACATGAGAAATTTCACTTACCACACAGAGAAGCCAAAACACAACATACAGTATTTGTGTTTTGGAAAAAAGATCTTGTCCAAACTTTATGCACACAATAGCTTCAAGGAAGGCAATTACCCTGTGGGTAAATGAAAGCAGGGAGGAGAGTGATTAAAAACACTAAGGATTTAACTCACATGTTCACAACTCAGACGCCAGACTGTCAGCTCTAAACAAGCACTACTCTCTAGTGAGCACACACCTCCCTGACAGCACCATTACATGAAATCCTTTGACAAATGTAATTTTCTTTCTATACTTTTCTCAGCATAAACAGCACACAAAGAGTGATTGACTGGCAGTTCACTGTTCCATGGGGCTCAAGGGAACAAGGAGTGTCTGCCAATAGCAGAGAATCTTCAATTGTGCCTACTACTGTGCTTCAGCTCTCACCACATATGAATTTCTTTTCCATGCTGAACACCCAACAGACTCCCTTGATGGATGAACTAGAACTGTGCTTTGTTTATTTCTCTACTAGATGTAAATTTACTACAATTCTACATTGTCTAGTTTGTTTACTTCACATGTATTTCCCCTATGAGAAAATTCATATGGAACAACATTTCAAATTCTCTGAGAATCCATGCATTTGCTCTGGTTTATCTGTAAACTCAGGTCCACATGACAGCCTCAGAGGATTTGGGGAGAAATGTGAGAGAAAAAAATGCAGTTTTTACATTTTCTGATTCTTTTAATGTCAGAGAGGAAAGTATCACCATCTCTCCCCCTGCTAACAGGTGTTTACATCTTTTCAGGTTCAAAGCTATGAGGGCTTTTCCACCACTTGTTTATGAATCCAAAGTTTCTACTGTCTGCCATGAAAATAAATCTAGTTTGTATTGTTCCTGAAGAGAAAATTACGTATGTTTAACAACACAAGTGTAGAAAAGTGCTGCATTAAAAGTGTAGGAAAATGACTCATCTCAATCTGAAGCAAATAATGAGAAATACTATTAAATTTAAAGCGTAATAGTTAGCTTGTTCAATAGAGACTTTAAGGTTGTACATCTGAGCAATGCATGAAATCTCCTCCTCACCAATGTGCAGACACCATTAACATCATGTCAAGTGTTCCAGTCTCCCCGGCTTGACACTGCAGGACACATTCCCTACCAATACTCTCAATAACCAGTTCACAAAAAAATGGCACTACTGCCTTTCAGGGAAGATCCACTTTCCCCCATGAAAGAGGAAAGAAAATGTGTGCTTGACTAAACCACTGGTATTGCAGAGATGGTCCTGGTGCAAGTAATAAATCACAGCTTTCCTGTAGTATTCAATGTGACTTCCAGCATGATGAATGGGGCAAAAACTTAAAAATGTGGCAGTAACACCCAAGTGACAAATACACAAATCAGTGAGATGCATATTAGCAAAAAACTGAGAGCAGTACTATTCTCTTGAGTCACTAACTATTTTTCTTTCTTGGTTTTATACTATTCTTACTGATCCAGCTGCAGAGTTAAAAAATCATGAAACTGATCTACTGGAGTGGGAAGAGAAAGACCACCATCAGGAAACAAGCACAGGGTTATGATACACTCAAAGGCATAAACAAAACAACAGGTTATTTTAAATAAGGACTCAAAAAAAATACAGCTGTTTGCCCTGAACTTATAGTTCTTTCTGTTATTCCTGCCAAGAATACTTGGGTTAAGCACATTTTACAATAGGAAAGCTATTACAGCTGATGAAGTGGTAAATCAAGAGAAAGAAGGATGCTAACAGTGAAGGGTATTAGTGTCCTGCTGAAGGGTGATGAGAGTACTCCATAGAACTAAATATGCTAAGTTTTCATTCAAGCAAAATGGTCTTGTAACATTCTGACAGATTTTCCTTTTTGAAAGGCTTCAACTTAATGAAAATAGTGCAATTTCAGCAGGGCTGTTGCATTGGCCTTGTTCATGCTTTACATCACCTACTGTACATCTATCAAGAGTGATGCAATAGTTATGTCAAGTTGAAAAGAAACAGTTTCGTACTAATGAAAGGCACTAATTTTAATTATACCCATAGTTAGGCTGCTTAAAATTCCATTTGTGCCTTTAGAAGTACCTTGGTTACCACAGAGATGAATGTTCCATATACTTCTATTAATTGCTTCAGAAATTATATTCTAGATAGTTACATTACTGGAAGATTTCCTCTTTTTTGCAGTCATCAGGAGCTCCTAGTGATGCTCTGTTGTTTCTAGCAGATTACAGAATTAAGCAGTAGGAAGGAGAATACTTAGTCCATGCACTTTTCCCACTATTAGACCAGACTGTGGGTGAATGTTCTATTGCAGTTCTTGTTAAGCAATCCTGCAGACATATTTGGTTATCTATTTATTGACACATGTTACATTAATGTATTCAGTGAGAGCTTTGGACTAAGGATGATGGGTTCTGTAGTGCTTAACAATTTTTCAGAAGCAACTATGCAAACTCTTCATTTAAAGGTATCCTCTAAGAGAAAAAGAGATTGCAGTCAAGGTCCCATGGCTCATCGTACACTCACAGAAATGGGATAACCATGGCTTGTTTCACTGTCCTCTGCTGTGATGCTGCTAACAGCAGCAATGCCCACCTTGGCAACCAGGGAAACATTACCCTCACAACCATCAAGCAAAGGCAAGCTATAGAGATAAAAGCTTTTTCCTTCTCACCTAAGAATATGGGTAGAAAGGCCAATGGTGCCTTGAAAGACCCTAGCTTAATCCAGCAGGTCATAGTTATCCCTTCTGTTGTCCTTACTCATTCCATCACTTCCCATGTTCTGCCTCCAAATTCAGAATTTTCCTTTCCTCTTGCAAAATGAAAACAAGGACTGGCTTCATGGGAACTGCCTGTTCCTGTGCTGGACCCATCCTTAACACTTGTCCAAGTGCTTCAGAAATGCAGCAAGAACACTTACCCGAACACCCAGCACTGAGTTCCCACCCTCTTGCACTGTGTGTCTGTGAGGTAAGCATAGTATTGCCTGAGAAGGGAAGAAAGAAAATTCTTCAGTGAAGTTGAAAGTCCCCAGAATATTTACATATAGAAAAAAACCTGTGTTACAGATGTATCTATAGTGAAAATGAAGTGCTGATGGTTAAATTCACATGCAATCATTCTGGATGTCTACCAGATGGCTTCAATTCTAGTAGGACAGATTATCACATATATCAAATAGCTTGAGACAACACAGAAAACAATCCTGAGAGCAAGAGCTGGGAAAGTACCCAAACTAGTAGGCTAGCAGCATTTGTCTCCTGCCTCTCCACTGATTCTCCAGTTCTTACAGGCAAACTGCAAGAGTTTCCAAAGAATTAAGAGGATTCCTTCATTTTTTTCCCGCAGTTTGTCTTTTATTTATTAGCAACTGCATTTTCTTCAGAAATGTGGGTTTGAATCTCAAAAGAATATGGCTATTCCATATCCTGTTTGAATGGTCTAACCACTGGCATGTTTTCCTCTCAAGAACAGTAGCATTTTTCCCTATTCTGAGAACAGTATGGAGACCATTCTGCTCTGCTCTCTATGCTCCAGAAATTTAAGAGTTTAGAGAGGGGAATTCCAAAGAGTGGAATCAGAGTTTCTGTCCTCAGTTTTTGATTTCCACTGACAGATGGAGAAGACAAGTGTTATTACTCCAACAATACAAGGACTGCTAAAGAACAAAGACTTCTACAGGTGTGCAAGTGCTACAATGGAAAAAAAAAACCAGACAAATTCACCTATGCAAGAGCTCACAGGGTATTTTGGGTGATTTAATTAATAGTGTGAAATCACTGCACATAACTTAAGACACTATTTGAGGAATAAATCAATTCATGGCTGCCATTTAACTGTCCAAGGGAACATCACTTTGGACATGAACAGGGAATTCTCTGCTTCTAACTTCAGATCTGTGTGCATCCTGTCTACCTCCAACTATGGAATGTGGAAAAAAAGGAAATTAAGGAACTTTGCTAACAACATAAAATGGCATGCATGACCGAAAGCAGATTCATGCTCCTACACAGCTGTCAATGCTGCATATATACTGTTCTGTTCTCACAATAAGCTACTGCTCAATCACAATCAGGAGATCTTAGAAAAACCAGCAGCTCTGGTTTTCCTCATCTACACTTTTGGGAGCACCTGACTCATTAACTTGAATACTTTCACATGCAGTCCTCAAGGATAACATATGCAGCTAACTCACAAAACAGGGAGATGCTACACAAACAGGAGAAGGAACAGACTGGCTCTGCATCCCTATGGCAACACATTGTTATGTACATTTTACCTCATTAGTTTATTTGTGAGGAAATACATGTTATTGATAAGAGATTATTGTTTTGCATTTCATGGTGGCAAAAGCATGTATTTTGTGAAATGTGCCATTCTTATTCACTAACTATATGCAGTTCTTGGATGCCTAGAAGTTAAGCTACTTTAAACTGAAAAAAACACTGAAGCAAAAAAATTACCTGACAGTGGGTGCTGTAATGATTCCTATGAAGAGAATTCTCCCCCAGCTTAAAGGGTGGCTTGCTTGGAACACAAAGATATGTTTCAAAAAGAATGTGTTCAACTCAGTTAGCTAGATCAAAAAAAAAGCTAGTTAATAGTGTTCAACTTACATAACTCCTGATGAATTAGTACAGCAAATGTGCAAAGATTAACATGGAAACTAAAACATAAGAAATTCCTGCTCTGTCTTTTGCTAGGACAAGCAAGTAATATACTAGTAAAACAAAAAAATTCTCCCCTAGAAACCTCTATCAAAGTATTTGCTCTCTTCTCCAAAACTCATGAAGGGACCAGACACTAATTCACCCTGTAGTGGTCTTCTGATAGCTTGCATATCCTAAATCAAGTACAAATAACCAAGACAATTTTGGGAGAGAAGCAGAAAAGATCATATATTAAAAAAACCCACACCTCAAAAAATATATTAAATATTTATGGTTTTCCTTTAAAACACTAAATTAAGAAATTTTTTTAAATTACAGAAGTTTTAATTTTAAGTTTTTAAACCATTTGTGACATGTTATAGAGTCTTGATGGATCAATTACAGTATTCTGAGTATTATTGATCCATTCAACAATCAATGGGAAAGGAAAAAAATCCAAAAAAAGCAAGGCAAAACAAAAACACCCCCACACAAACCAAACAATCCCCTGCCACATCAACACAATAAAACCAAAATAAATTGAAATTCCACCACCTAAACCCCACTGCCTAGCAGTGTCAATTGCAAAAAGCCAATACAGCAATCTGTAACGTTTGACTTTTCCCACAGATTCTGTAATTACACTCCTGAACTCCCATGTAACTCCCATGAAAGTGCCCTTTCCAGTTCCACATTATCAATTCATTTAACTGTGTACTTCAACAACAGACATACATTCCATCCAGAATATTTTTTAGTCCAATATAGCCAACAAGTAACTGAGCTGATAGCAGCTTTCACAGAATGTATTTCTTACCTGCCAAATAATCATGAAAAGGTAGACTCCAGCCACTCTCTGAAATGAAGACTTTGGGTCAAACCAGCGGACGTAGGTCCAGCTGGCTGGGGTGAACTGTAATACAGCCCTTTTGATTTTCCCTGTGGTTGTGTGAATGTCCCTGGAAAAAATAATGGCTGGAGTGAATACAAGGAATATGCCAGAAGGAAGAAACAAAAAAAGCAACAGCCCTGTGACTGATGTTTCTGAGGAACAATCACTTTTTTTTGGTCAGCAGAGATCTTCTCAGACGCAACTATGTACCAGGCAAGAGAGAATTCAGAAAAATAATCTGTTAAGCATTTCAGTCAAGGTGTGTGTTCTGCTATAAAAGCCTACCCTTCTCTATCCTCAGTCCATAACTCAGTAACTAACTACAAAACACATCTATCATTCTTTTCACAAAGAAACGAAGACAGCAATTCTGCAACTTCCTTGGAAAATCTAGAGGTTACTTCTTCCTGGTTAATGTTGCCACTGCTCTTACCCTAAACACTCCTTGTTTAGAGCTCACTGACATCAGTCCTTCAAGAATCTGTAGGATTCATTATTTGTTGTTTGTATCAGGGACTGGCTCCACAGGTTTAATAATACTACACCTCCAGCACACATAAGCCCTGCTGTTCTGATAGCAGATGCATGTGGACCTCCTGGAGAGGTGTGATAACACTGTTAAAAGCTAGAAAGCATTTAAATTCCATTTTGAAAGGGGATTTTAATGCAGGCTCATCTGATGTATTACTGATTCTTGCTTTTGGTAATATTAATTCAGATGAGCAACAGCACCCAAAGGACACAGAATCTAAGAAAAACTCAGAGCTTCATCTTCTGAAGGAAGACTAGCAGGACTAGAAGCCATTTTTCACCCTGTTATTTCTCTGGGCCTTCTAGACAAAAAAAACCCAAAAACAAACACAAAAAAACCCAAAAACAAACAAAAAAACAACAATGGCATAAAAAAAACAAAAAAAAAAAACAACAACAAAAAAACCCCCTCAGATTTGATATTTTCAATATTTGTGTTATTCTAGGCTAGAGAAAGCTTAGATTAGGGAGAATCTTCTAAACTTTAAGATCTGTATTTATTAAATTAAAAAAAAAAGAAAAATAAACTAAAAGGGCACAGGCAAAACATTCTCATTCTCATGAAGCAGCATCTTCATGTTAAAGGTCAGAAAAATCTACTCATGCATTTAAAAGAACATGAGGAAAAATTATTCCACAAAGACAGTAAAGACTTGGTGTGCCATAGTCTGCTGTTTAAACTTTCAGTGACCCTCTAAAAATAGAAGGATCATAAAACTCTAATAGAAATGCAGGAAAACTGAATTCAGACTAAAGGCTGGCTGATTCTTAGAGTAATTAACAAATCTGTGAATAAAAAAAGAAAAGCAGTACAGAAAGTCACACAAGGTACAAATTTGGAAGTCAAGATCTGAGTTCCTTTTCCATCTCTCAAGGCAATTCACTGCACTTGACCCTGTTTCATGTATACCATTGGCAATGTGCAGATAACCATGCTTGCTAGCAGGGAAGAAGGCAGGGGAGGGGCAAAAAACTATGGAAGAAACCACACCTGGACAGCCAGGAACTGACATACTAGGCCATAAGCTATTGCCCTTTCACACAACAAATGCTTCTTTATTTTACAATTACTCCTTTTATTAGAAGGTCAACAATGAGGTATGGCAATTCACAGCACGGGCACCATCAGCCCCATCCATGCCCCTGCTGCAATTCCAGCTAGTGCTGACAGACTGCCACACTAATGCATCACCAAGGTGAACCCAAATCTAGTTTTAAAATATATGATGAGAAAACAATCACAATTTGCTTTGCTCCCTAACTTCCTCAAAGTTTTATGTATACAAAATAAACTGAAAATGCAAATAGCTTAATTATTTTGTATTGTCAATTGGTATCAATGCTTGTAACTTAAAGTTGCAAAGGAAAATCATATATACAGTCACATCTACAAACATATACATACAGGAACATTACTATGACACCGATATTTAACATTTAAAATAAAATTAAAGCACTGTTAGCACAGACAGATTCCATGCTATTTTTATACATGCAAAACAAGGTTTATCAAGCTTTAATTTAGACCTACTTGAAGCTTGCCCAGTGATAGGTCCTCATCTCCAAGAAACGACAAACTACCATGCCCAACCAGATGCCACCCCCGTTACAAAGCAGGATGTCCAAAATGACTTGATCCCACCAGCATTCAGCAAAATTAGGCAGAAGGTGCATGAAGAAGAGCTATAGAATACAGCAAAAAGACTCTGGGTGAGGAACAGCATAGAATTAATATAAATTAACTTTTAAAGTACACATTCAAAAATCAGCTTTTCAGTACACAGCATACTTCAAGGGCATGAGCCATAGCCACTGAAATGTCATGGACATCCTTCCATTAACTTCAGAAGGCCTTGAACAGAATCACACAAGACATCAGAGATTTCCTTCTCACTGTTTCCTGTTGAGGCTATGCTGCATATAAGGATATCATGCAGCTGTTGGCCTCTCAAAGATGATACAGGATACATTAATAGAATGTATGAAACAAGCAGAACGACTGCGTTTCTTGGATGAAATAAGGTGGTTTGTGCTTTAAAAAAAATAAAATTACGAGAATCTTTGTTTCATTTTTGCTAAATAGTTTTAACTAGTATGTTTTCTAAACCAGCAACAAGATGAAGCAAGTAAAATGGATTGGTTTGTAATAGCTGTCAGTACTAAAGCATGGTGGTGTTCAGGACACAGGACTTCTTTATTTCAAAACTCTGTTTTCAGGAAATTTAGTGACTGTAAAAAAAAAAAAGAGTTCAACAACATTTCAAACACTTCAGCAAGCTTTGCTGCTATACTTAATACAGAATGGCTCAAGAAGTTAAGAGGACATCCACTCTACTGATGCAGTGAGGGGAACAACTGGCCAGAGTTAAGGCAAGACATAAACATATTTTACCAAGAGCTAGAAACAGATTCACTACCTCTCTTTCTCCTTTAAGAAAAATAATTTTATTATCTTATTCTATGAGAAAAATCACTGCAATCCAAAAAAATAGACTGGAAAAGTTACCTATGGGCAGGAAATCAAGACAGCCATATGCTGAGCAGTTCCTCTGCAATACTCAAGGAGGTAATTAACAAAATAGCAAACTAAAGAATGTACCTCCACAAACACAGTGCAATTCTTGTCAGTGAATGTACGTACACTGTGGCTGTAGAAGACTGGAAGATTACTGGTAGGATTTTGTAATAAAGTATCTTTTGTTCAGAGATGTAAGCATAAAGTACTGAAAAAAATCAGATTTGAGAAAAGGAACAAGAATGTTTTCTGTATACAACAGGAATGAATGCTGGCCCATTTACAGTACATTACAGTGACTAATACTGGCAATGACAATTCCTGTGAAAACTCTTGCAAAAGTGTATCAAAAGCAGTTGTTTTTCTTTGACAAAGCTATGTGGATTTCAACCTTTACAAAAAAGAAAATTTAAGTTTCTCTTCAAGAACCAAGTGATACAGTGTTGTTCATTGTCCTGGTAAAGTTTCCCTTTCATATTTTTAATTAATTTAGCCTGAGAGTGGCAATAGCCTACAAATGTCAGTCAGATCCACGCAAAGACACCAGAAGCTACAGATAATCAGGCAGCAAGACCCAGAGCACAGGTCTGACAGCCTCTAAGGCTCTCTAGCTGCTTTCTCACAATGAGAGACCAAGGTCTGCCTGCTTCCCAACTTTAATTCAACAGTATGGAGCATGAGCCAAGTTTCCCATTTCAGAGCAAGGAGCTGGCAGCAATCCGTGAATGCTAATAGGAAATACTCAGCTAAATCCCTGTGTAACTGCCCTGATAACTTCTGGAGGTTTCTAATTGCTCTCCTGAATTATCTTATTTATCAAAGATCCATTTGAGTGGTGATAACATATCTGTGTTTTGAACCTTGTCCAACACATTATCTGTTCCAATAATCTGCCTTCCAACAAGGGGAATACTGGACACCTGCTGCTGTGTCAAATTGAAGATGAAGATTGTGTGATAAACAATAAGAGTATGAGTGAAACAAATCCAAATACATTATTTTCCAGAGAGAAAAAAATGGTACAATAACTAGCTGAGGTATTTTCTATGAATGGGTACTTGTGAAATCCCAATCTTGAGCAATTTCAAAATCACTTAGAAAACACAGTATCCTTCAATGCTACAGAACAAAAACACGTTTTGAAGAGGAACTTACAGCACCAGAATTTTCAAACCCAAAATTTAATTTCAGATTAATAAATCCTTATCTATGTTTCTAAATTTACAAATGTTTTGTCAGACAAGCCAAGCATTCTCAAGGCAGCAAGCTTTACAGAAAACTGATTTTAAAGACTAAGTTCAGATGTTTACATCAAGAAGATCCCTCAACTCCATTTCATTTGTAGGTTATGCATGCCTATACACAATGTGTGATATTGTTGTATGTGAGGTACAGGGACCAAGAGAGTAGATCACAGATGTTGTAGGGTGAAAAAGGAGAACAGTTGCTCTGAATCAGGAAATATATGAAGTAGAAAAAGTAGCATGATCCCCATAACACCAGAAAATAAATTATGAATGGCACAAATAGGCTGACCTAGACTTCCTTTCTATTCAAGCAGCAATAAATCACTTACATAAAACCCAGCTTGCTGTTGTCTGTTCATTCAGCTGCATAAATTACTCATACTTATAAGCATCTGGCTTATAAGACTTAAAATGTAAACCTATACTGAGAAGTAGAGAGCCATCCTTCTAGTAACATTCACTCTTCCCCCAAGAACAATTCACATCTCTTACCTTTGTTGATAATTAAGATGAAAGTGGCCTACCTCAGTGAGCTCCCAGGTGATGCTAATAGTCCAGCAGAGCCCATAGCTGCGGATCAGCAAAGCCTTCATAGCCCACCCCCAGAAATGTCCAAAAGCAAATATATCAAAGTGGCTGAGGATTCTCTCCCAGGTGATAACATGACAGTTCACTGCATACTCCTGTTATGAAAATAAAAAAAAAAAAGAACAAAATTACTTCATCAACACACAACTTCAGAAAGAAGAAACATTTTTCCATCAAGTGCATTAAGCCTGGAATTGTAAGGCTATTAAAATTAGCATTATTTAATTTTCTTATCCTTCCAAACTGTGGCAGAAAACTTCCAGTATTAAGGCTCAGTGCCATCACAGTACAGCTCTAATTTAAAGGGAAATAGAATGGACCTTGGTGGCTGAAGAAGCATGTATTTTCTAAGTGACAGAGAAGCAACAAAAACAATAAAATCCATAACAATAAAACCAGCAAACAATACTTCAGAAAATACTTATTTGCCTTTCTTTGGAGTCTTGATTTGAAATAACCACCTTTCTCCACATTGATGCTGCCTGGTATTCAGATATGGCTCATTAGTGGCTAATCCTCCTCAGTTTCTGATGTAACGTTACTCACGTCAATGTTTACTTGAGTATCTTTTGTGTCTTATTTTCCTCATGAAAGCAATTTCCTAGAACCCATTCATATTGAAGACATTCAGTTACAGGCTTGGATTGAAAAAAAATTTAGGGGAAGATCAAAGGGAACTTGCAAACGTTTTTTTGCAGATGAGCAGCAGATTCCTTAAGATACTAATTAATATTCTAGTCACCAATGACCAAGGAACCAGGTTCTCAAAACATGTTGTACAGCAAGTGCTAGAAATCATTGCCCAAAAAGAAAAAAAAAAGTATTCCATCAGGAGGCTGCAGTTGTGGGGTTCTGTCTCATCACTGGGCACAAACAGAACTATTCCTAACAGGAAACACACATTTTATAACATCTCTGCTCTTCAATCTTCCTAAAATACACATTGCCACCTGCAGGTCACAACTCAGCACTGCTCAGTGCTGTTAATTCAAGAATTCTCTTTCAGGCCAGAACTATTGCTAATCCTGCACAAATGAACACTAATCTAGTTGAAGATGAGACAGCAGAGAAAGATATAAATCCTGGCCACCACAAAGAGAAGAATGCACAATTTCATATAAATCTGTCTATCAGCAGGCAGCTGAGTCCCACTGTGGGATGACAGTTGTGTAGATTACTCTTAAGTAACCTTTACTGCTGGTGCTTTCTTGTGTATGCCTGTGCTGCTGATCAGAGAAAGGTGCACCATCTGTTCTAAGGATGGTAAACCTGCAGCCTTAGTGCACCAGGAGAACTGAAACTGGCTCCTTTGCCGGCACGAGAAGCACAGAATACACGACAGAAGGTGCAGGCTTCTTGCTACACCAAGATACCTATGATGAGTGAACACAATGAGGCTACTCCAAAAGTAAGGTTTTTTCCACGGCTCTTGCTTTCTTCTTTTGTTTTTACTGGGGCTTTTTCCTCTCTATCTGATTTTTCCGGCTGCAGTTCTGCCAGCCATACAGCGAAATGTGTTGAACTTTTTTTTTATACCCAAGCAACTTTGCTACTCCTGTGCAAGCAACCAAGCGGCAGCCTTCATTACCACTGCACTTTAAAAATTTACTCCAACTTCAAACGACAATATCTGGATTGCAAAGCAGACCAGGGCAACTTTCCAGTGACTGCTGCAGTCAGGGAATCTGCTGTACTGTAGTTCTGTGCCAGTAGCAATACTAGTCCTCCCCTAGTTAGAATCTATTTCTAATGTAAATGACAGGAGAGCCAGGTGAATCTGACAAACCAACAGACTCCTTGTCTCACCCTTTTGCTGCTCAGCAACACCACTGACACCGGTGCTGGGGCTCCATTTAGCCATGTGTCCTCCCCCCATCCTAAGGGCTAAGGTTGCCCTTACCCCTCCAGCACACAGGAGGTTCCTTGCAGAACCCAAAGTCACAGCCCAGAGCTGCACAGCATGTACTGCTGACAGGCTGAGGTGCAATACCTGAAGCATGCAGTTTTCCAGGCAAGGAGCCTGCACACAGCCCTCACTATCAATCAGCTAACACGAGCTTACTGCACTGTAAAGATTTCCATTCCCCCATGTGCTACAGGGCACGAGTTTGCAGCCACTGCTGATGAGGTACTGGGTGTTGGCTTGCCTAAGTAGTAAATAGCCACGTGTGAAAGACAACCAGTCAATTTCCCTACTCAAGAGGTATGAGGCCTATAAAAGCACCTAGTATACAACAGGTGGCCATGGTGGACAGATGCACAAATCCAAGGTCAAGGGACCATGTTGATCACATGGTAAGGAGTAATTTGAGGTGATAATGAGGATGGCAAGATTAGCAACTCTTGCCTCCCCACGCATCCTCCTCTTCTGCTTGGTGCCCAACTGCTCACACTGTGTTCTGCTTGCCTCCCTGCATAACTCACACCCTTCTCCCAGGCCTCCTTTTACAACCTCAGCTCCCTGTGTTCGTGTCCCCACCTGCAAGGGAACGTTCTCCATATGGAAAACTCTTTGCAAGCTGCTCAGTGAGCAGAAGAACAAGCCTGGCTTTCTATGCCACTCCAGGTTATGGTCTATGGAAACAGCATCAGTGCTCAGTTGCTGACTGACTGGAAGGAAGCAGAGTCCTGCAGCTGCCATACACATACTCCACAAGCTCCATAGCACAACAGTAATGTACTAAGCTCAGAGCAACAAGATGAGACCAAAGTTCTTTGAGTGCAGCACTGTGGCATCAAAAATCCTGATCTGAGACACATACCATACAGACTTCATTTAGATATTACCTTGCTAAGTCTATTTTCAGTATCCATGCTCATATCTATTACCAAAAAGCATCCAAAGCCACCCCACTGCAAACATATATCCTGTTCCAAATGGTACACTCATCCAAACATCTACATTAGGAAAAAAAATATACTGAGAAGATTCTTTTTCACACCAGCTGATTTCAAAGCAAATAAATTGCTGACACAAAGGACTTGTTGATTCTGTCAAGTGTAGGCACAAACTTGCACTGCTCATGACAACAAATTCAGATTTATCCATTCCCACTCATATAAAACATGACTAAAGTATGTACAAAAAAGTGCCATGGACACATACCATAATATCTGCTTCCCTTGTGGCATATCGAAGATTAGGGTCCAGCCAGTACATCACAGCTTTTACCTGCTCAAAGTTGAGGAAGAGCACGAATACCAGGAACAGAAAATAAAGCACACTGAGACCTGCAAAAAGACTCAGTTTTACAATCATGCTCATTCAAAAAACTGCTTGGAACACAGAGTTCAAAAAGCTGCTTTCAAACACTTGTTCTACAAATGAATTTCTATACACAGCAGCTACAGAAAAGCTGAAGAGACACCAGTCAGATGGCAATGTCTGAGCACTCAGCCCTTCATATCCCCTCCTGTGACAAGTGATACAACACATGCTCAGCTGCATGAACAAAATCAGTCTAATCAATTTAGACGTGTAGTACAAGGCTGTGATCAGGAAGCTCCTTAGTAAGAGATACATTAGGATCCAGGATTGCATTAGCTCTGTCCCTTTGCTTTAAGTATTCTTGGTCTCACTAATCTAAGTCCCTAAGCCTTTACACAGATTTCAACATAAAGGTCAATTTAATAATGCCACCTGGCAATTCTGAGCTGTGCTGGTAATAAAGAGTAATTATAAACTAATGCATGTCTGAGTTACTTTTGTGAGCTGGAAAATTTGCTGCTTGAACCTTTTAAAGATAAATATGATTATTTATTTTCACAGCACTATAAATTATGAAACACCACTGCATTTAGGAGTACCATTTCTCTCCTCCAGTCTGAATAAGGATTTTTTTTAAAAAAACTGAAAAACTTATTAGAAGTTGAGTCCTAGGTATAGCTGTGTGGATAGATTAAGCTTTTGTTGGAACCATATCTTTACATTATTCATAAGCTTCCAGATAACCAAGACCACATTTGGAGGAGGCATACAAACACCATTTCCAGAGCCTCAAATGTATCCTGCAGCAACATCATGGAAGGCAGAAAGATTAATGTAAATAAACGAAGGATCTGCCATTCAAAATAAACTGCAGCAATTTTAAAAAGGCCTTTTAAACTATAACCAGGACTCACATGCTGATAGCCCCCCGTGTACACCAGAAAGCAACTTTTGTTCAGAGACACACACGCACAGGAAGTATCTATATGGTCCTGTGCAGTTCCTCACAGAAACACAAGGACCACAGATGCCACCCTGCTAAATGAAGCACAGCCTGCAGGCCAGGGTGCATCTGGAAATGTTGAGGATGCACCAGTCCTGCCCTTCATCTACCAAAGGGGTCTGAGAACTGAAACACAGCTAAATGAACCACACCAGAAGAAGGAGAATTACAAAGGGAAAAATGTTGCTCCTGATTTTGCATGCAGCCTTCTCCCAAAAGTACAAGGGTCAAGCTCTGACCGTATCAACATTGAGAATGACCTTTCACTCTACATGTGGTGAAACTTGAAGTGAGCAGTAGGACCTGGTGTTTCCAGTAGGAGTACTGTTTCCCAAACTTCCCAAGAAGCAGGTTTGTTTAATGAGTACTGTCTAATCAGCAGTATCCTCTCAATGCCAACAGATGAGTAATCAGCTACTTTGGGAACCTACTTATTTTTAGATATAAGGTGGTAGGAGAGAGGAACATTCAGTGTACCTAAAAAATAATCAAACATGCAGTCTACCATATGCTCTGTGAACCCTGAATTATTTGAAAATAAAATTCCTCATGATTTTGCTGTGTAAATCAGATGTTTAAGTAACAGGATTTCACTTGTTACTTTTGTAGCTAACAGAATTATTTTTCAAACTATGAATGCAACTGATATTTACAGGTATTATTAATTAAATAAGTTAAGAATATGAATATATACATGTCAAGAATATTATTAATTGTTAACCTATGCAATGATACAATTTAAGAAACATATAAAGTTACAACATATTTTTCCAATAATGAAGAGAAACTAACTATTCAACTGTGTTTAGAAGTCAAACAGTATATGCAGTAGCTGGAGTTGGAAGAGCAGACAGTAGGAAAGAAGTGGGGGAAGGAGATTGGGAAGCACAAAACAGGATTAAAATTGTATCAGAATGAATGATCCCTTTTTTGTGATTTCATTTACACCATCCTGACACAGAGTAACTACAATGATATTCCCAAACATAACTAAGAACAGATTATAAGCAACTGCTCAGGAGCAGGAGCAAAGTAACATTCACACAAGTTTTACACACAATTATGGTTCATGACAATTCCATTCATCAGAAAGCTAAAAAGGCAGGTCCTGCAAAATCAGGGCAAAAGTTGTAAACACAAACTTACCAAAAACCATCCTCCATAGAGCAGGATGAGGACGTGTAAAGGGTCCTAAGACAGCAAACAAAAAGCTTATTAGGAGACAGTCAGTAAAAACCACAAAATTTATTTTTGAGTATATCAGATACGACTACTTGGCATGAGCATGGATCAGTTCTTCATCAAACTATGTAATACACCTGAAAGCTGGAGCTCTATGCTGTTAAAAAAAATTCAGCAGTTTTCAGGGTGGAAAAAGGAGACTGCCAGTTGGTAACATGAAGACAATTTTTCACTGTTTTTATAGAGTCATGTCCAGAACAGTAGCATGCTGTTTGTTCACCAGACACCACATCTCAGGTGTCACCTGAGGATGTCCTGACCTGGTTTCCAGACTGCAGCTTGCTCCCAATCAAGATATCCCATACAAATTTGTCTGTGTTAACAAAGAAACATGGTGCTTAGCCTTCAGACCAACGAGAAGTGTTACCAAACAGGCCTGCTGAAATTTCTAAACTGAGCATCATATACAGATGACAAGAAGGAAGACACCTACGCTCTTCACCGGTGTCAAATTATTTACTTTAGAGCCAGGGATGAAACTGATTTATTAGACTAAAAACCTCTCAGCTAATGTGAACAGGAGAGAAGGTAAATCAGGTGAAACTGGAAAATGTCTGAAGGTGAATCGTACATTTAGGAGGCAAGAAGTGGCTCAACAAATATTTTCAGCACACACTGCAGACCACTCTTTCACCACTGTATGCACAAAGCTCCTTTTTCTCTGGCATTCAGTTTTTCAGGCAGCACTTTGTGAAAAGCATGCATATAGGATTTTTAACATATCGGAAAAACACATCCCAGCTCTGCAGCACAAAGCTGCCCTGAACACGATCACTGTTTTTTCCTGAACATTGCCAGCTGTGAGACAGTTTAGACTTGACACAAGAATCATGATTTTGCTGACAGGAATAAGCAAAAATTAAAAAACCAAAACAGACAAACCATGTATAAGCATTTCTTCCACAGAATTAAGTGACACACAAATGTTCTTACATTTTTATACTTTCTACTCCTCACACAACTACCAAAACTTTTGTCCAACTTTAACTTCTACTGAGCAACTGTGGTTTTACATTGTAAATGCAATTTAAACCATTTCTATTACTATCTTCTGGTAAGGTGTTGTGCCTGAGAACTTTTAGAATTACACTTCTGTAGAAACACACTGAGGCAAAGTCCTCCTAAACATTATTTAAAGATCTGTTAGCATCACTACTTAGAATCTGAGCTGCAACTGCACATCTGCAAATAGGACACTGATTTTGAGAACTTGACTTCCTTGTTAAATACAGACTATAAATAACAAGCTATAAATAACACTTATCTCTGCTCAGTATGACTACAACCATTTTTAGACTGTTCCTTAATATAAAAGAATTCAAATGAGTAAAGAAAAAATACACTGACAATTGGTATTTAAATAAAAGTAAAAGTAAATATAGCGGCAATAAAGAGAAACTCACATTTAAAAAACATGAAGTACAAGCTGTATAAACCTTACTCACCATTAGGAAAAGCTAGAACACTGATGATTAGAAAGAAGAAAATCACAGAGAGGATACCCCTCCAAATATTATCCTCTGGTACAGAATCATCCCTAAGGAGACAGACAACACAGTATTAAAGTACATTATAAGGATGAAGTCAAAAGGCTCTCAAGATATATTATTTAAATAAAGAATACATGGAAATTAACTATAAGAAATAAGCATGCCCATTAAGTAACAAGTTAAGACAGTAATTGCACGGAATGATTTTCACACTACACTTCTGGGTTTCTCTCTCTTACAAGAGGGTTAAATATTTAGTAAACACATGCAAGCCATTAGCATTATTAGAATTTAGTTTAGAAGCAATGACCAAATTTAACATAAGGTGAAAAAAATCTTCCGGCTTTAATGCTTATAGAAACATCATTAAATTACTTTTACACAGCAACTTTTACTTTTACACCTAAACTAAAACCTCTGGAAGCCTGGATGCAATTCCTAGGTTTCCCTTTACTGTTTTGATGGTACTTGCAATACACTTCCCTTTGTCTATCCTCAACATTAAATGCCTGAGATGAGGGCAGAAATAATGGTTACAATCAGTCTTTAGAAATAATGAAAGTACAGCTTAGAATCAGTAACAGAGACAGAGCACAACTTAAAAGATCCAAGGAAAAAATATCAATTTGCTTTTAGATCTATTAAGCCAAAGCTCTGAATGTAACAGAGACACAGCACAACTTAAAAGACCCAAGGAAAAATATCAATTTGCTTTTAGATCTATTAAGCCAAAGCTCTGAATATACATGCATTAGTTGTGCTGTTACATTATAGTCACAAGACAGCCCTAAGAATTCAGTTTGGAATGCCAAGGTAAACTTGACAGAGCCCTTTCTTTTCAGGCAGGTAGAAGATTAACAAAATAACCCTCACCTAACTTTTCCAACCAGCAGACAGCTTCTGGAATAGATACTTCAGTAATACAAACAAACTTCAGACTATCATAGCATAAACAGTGAATACTTCATAATGTATATAACCAACTACAACTAAAATCAAAGTTTTACTATCTGGGTAGTTAGCATGTACTTAGGATCAGTTTGTTCATTTGAGTGTATTTTTATTATTTTTTCACAACACAGTAACAAAATAATTCCTAGCAAACTTTGAAGGTATAAAGCTCTTCCTGGAAGAGCATCTGTCACATTTCTGGATGGTTCAGTAAAGAATTCATGACAGCATAAATGCTCTTCTCCACATTAGATACTTGCTGCAGTTAGAAAATATTTCTCACTTAGCCAAATTATTTTTCTTTTCCTCAAAACTGAACCTTAACAGCTTCACAGCAGGCATTCATCACTGTGAGGCATTTAAGCACTGTGTTAGTTTAAATGTATGGAAGGAAAAAGTGCATTAAACACTAATGGTTTCTCTGCAGGCCTTAGGGACTTCCCACAGTGTTTTTTTTAAACCAGCTGAGTTCAGCTTTACCAGTCGTTTTCCAGCAGCCATGCTTCACAGGCTGACACCTTATACCAGTTAAAAACTCCAAGTCCTAGAGCTTCACTCTGGCTCCCCTGGCAATCCCAAGACCTTATGCCATCCAGTGCACTTCCTAGCCAGAGCCTCCAGCTCTGATGCCTCAGACAGCAAAACCATATCCCTCTTTTAACACATGTAAATAACACACTGGAACATTCTCTCATGGCTGCCACCAAGAGGATGAACTAATTTTTTTATTTTTTTTTTATATAGAACAAATAACTACAGTTGCATCACATCAATTCATCATTTCAACAAAGAAGTGAAAGACATCGTGATCACATCACTTAACTGCTGCACCAGGTGAGACTAAAGGTCCACACCTTTGCATATCAGGATTCTGAGTACTACTCAGCTTCAGAAAAGTTCTCCTAGTCATGTTGGCACCACTTCTCCCAAAAATCCACAACGATGCATGCAGTGTTAAACTGCAATTCATTCCAAGTGAGTGGCAAGGCATTTTATTTTGGCTTGCAGATACATTTCACAAGGGACAGACACCTAATCTTCTTGCCAGAAGCAGGTAAGAACAGGTGTGAGCAACAAACTTGCTGCTGCACACTAGCTGGTGTAAGAATTATAGTGTTTACCTGGAAGAACTATTTTGGGGAATGCTAAAGGGAAAGATACAATCATAACAAGCTGTAATTGGGAAAATGTGCTAAATCATCTCCTCACATAGCCCCAGAATTGTTGACTCTGATTTTGAAATAAAAGAATTCATGCAACAGAAGCAAGGTTTCTAATGCTTACATGGGAGGACACATGAAAATTCTCTCAATTTTAACCCACTTTACTAGGGCATTTATCAATTCTGTGGTTTTTTAGAGAAGAATATAAAAAAACAAAGTGCATAAAAACTGCATAATCTTTATCCCTCCTCTGTTCTTCTCCAGAGCAGTAGATTACAAAAATGTCAACGAGTGAGTTATCACATCACAAAAAAAAAAAAAAAAACTCAGTTGAGGAAAAAATAGCTAGGACACTAAATTTGAAATGTAGGAGAAGGAGGAAAAACAGTTCCATGAACTCAGCCAAATCTAAATACACAATAATCCAGTTTAATCAAGCCCATTAATCGAGGGATATGGAAGACAAAAGCTCTACATCCTACAGGTTTACTCCTGCTTCCACAAACCCCAGCAGCTTCATACCAGAAGCCACTAGTCTGTCACCCTTCTTCTCAGTCCTGTTGTTGTGTTCCACAAAATATCCCCTCCAGGACTTATTCCTGCCAGTTGCCTCTGGGCTCAGAGAGGGCCACACACCTCTATCTAGGGTGAAAGAGGACAGGGAAAGCTAGAGCCTTCCCCACCTTTGCCCCAAGGCACAGGATGGAAGCAGAGGAGCCTCTGTCTGGCTCATTCAGCAGGAAACAACCAAGGAAGCTGCAGCCATTGTCAGAAGCACTACAAGGATGTGCTTTAAAGAACAGAATACCCTCTACTCTTCACTTTAACAAAGAAAAATTAAAATTACATTTACTTTGGACTACTATTATTAATATTATTATCATCATCATACCTGAAGATTCCTGCTATCTGAAGTTCAGTTTCACCCTTATCTGTCAGCTCAAAGACAGTAGCAGCCGCTCTCAGTGATCCTAAGGAGGACTTCATGTTATGTATGGCTTGCTACACACAAGGGAAAAGCATCTTCTAAGTTTCTCAGAACCCTCCACATAATTCTGACACAATGCAATTATAAAAAAGACAAGAATTTAAGGAACACAGAATTTCCTCTGTCTACGGTGAAGTTCCTGAAAAAACAAATTTTACTTCACAACATCAGCATGAATCTATCATAGAAAATTCCCCACTCAATAAACTGCCCAGGAGAGCTACGGAACAACTGACAGCACAGGGGAAGCAAAGAATCACTTGTGACACCTCACAGGGAAGTCTACAGGGCCTTGTGCTCAGGAAGTGGGAAAATGAACTTAAACATCACCTTATTGCATGAGTCAGTGCAATAAGCTGATGGAATGGAGCACAGACTGTAAAGCATGTGGGAAAGTATCTCCTCTTCCCCAGTTTGTCAAAGAATGTATATGGTTTGGATAGTGTCCCAAATGAGGCCCAGAGGCAGCACTCTGGTATCACTCAGGAGATCTATGAAACTCCTACAACAGTTGAAAACAGCAGAAGGAGGAGAGGGGAGAAAGTAAAATCAGAGTACCTTCTACAATCTGAGAAGAGGAGAAATAGAGAAGAGTTAAAGAGAAGTCAACTGGTATTTAATCACAGGAAGTGAGGCAGAGAGAGACAGAGGGAAGAAAATGAAACTGAAGAAGTCAGTTAGAAAGACAACAAAACAAATGGAAAGACAAACCAGCAATCCTCTTGGAAAAATGAAAACAAACATCACAGAAGTGAAGCAATTTTATCTGGGCCTAGAAGACTCCAAAGTGCTGAATTTACTTCTTGGCTCATCCTCTGCTTGAAAGAATTAATGGCAAAATTCCTTCCCCAAAGGTGAGCAATCCACTAATCCATTAATCCTCCAGAATGACATTGTGATGAGAATTTCATAGTGAGTCAGAACTTTGACCTAAATTAGCCCTTCAGGGTGAAAAGTGATCAGGCAAGGGGATGAGGAGCACTTGTAGCAAAGGTCTGTAATTAAACAGTGTAGCAGAGCACAGAAATATGTCTCTGATTTTGGAGTTAAGAAAGGATCCAAGTAGAACAAGGGATGTGCTCACCAAAAGTATCTCCCCTGGGGCCATACACGTGTTGAAACAAGAAAAGGCACACCTCAGACCATCCACAGTTACACTGTTTTACTTTTCCTTATGCTCCTGTCTCAACTCAAGCCAGGTTTGGCCATTATTTCACAGCTGATGAAAACTATACATCTGGATTTTTAGAATAAAATGAGATTACACACTGAACTGTGTATCAGGCCTAGCGACAAATAATAATCTTCTTGCATCAAATGGAGAGCTGTCATGTATTAATGTTTTAAGGTCACTTTCAAGGGGGGGATTCACCACCATCAGAGTTTAAGCCACAAGACCACTGAAATCCGTAACTGTGTACACACAATGCTAGAAAAGTTTAAATGAGCCTAAAACGCACTGCACTACCTAGCCAAAACCTCTCAGGAACCACTGCCTACATACTACACAACTTAGTCTACAGGAGGATTAGGCAATGGTCTTCACATTCAGTAGGAGGCAATAAAAAGCATACACAACTTCAAAAAACATGCAAGATACCCCCCAGACTGCACCGCTGTACCCTTTGTTTTCAAGCAAGTTCCCGAAAAACCTGTCTGTTCCTGGCAGGACGGCCATGAATGACCGCAGGGGTGATGCCCGCAGAGCCCTCCCCTCCTGCGGTGCGCCAAGGATGCGGCTGAGCCCACCCGTGCCAGGGCCTGAGCCAAGCCGAGACCGGCGCAGGCAGCGTGGGGTACAGAGGCGGTGCCACAGAACACTCGCTGCCGTCCGCTGCACGCCTGGGAAATCATCTCCATGCCTGATGGCACTGCGGACAGCCTAATAAAGCCCATTTCTGGCAACTCCTTGAAACACACATTTTAGTAGAGACTTTAGCAGAGATCCTCAGAACGATTAACAAGTTCCCAGGAAACGCAGCGGGGATGATAGCCGCTCTGGAAAGGAGGGGAGGATGCCCGCTCTCCAGCAGGGGCCTGCCGAGCAGGGGCGCGGGGGCCGGGCGGTGCAGCACCGGCCCGGGGAGCGCACCGCAGGCACGGCACGGCACGGCAGGAGCCGCGCTGCCCCTGCTCGCCCCGGGGCCGGGCACCGACCCTCGCCATTCCCCGCCCGGGAACCCCCTGCGCCCCGGGGCTGTGGGCACCCAGGGGCGGGGCTGCGGCTCTCCGCGGCGGCCGCGCACCTGGTGAAGGCGAAGGCCATGAGGCTGAGGATGGTGAAGCTGAGGAGGGTGATGGTGTGCGGGCGGTAGAAGAACTCCAGCGTGATGTCCTCCACCTGCTGCTCGTTGATCATGCGGAAGTGCAGGCGGTAGTTTACGTCGTCCTTGCTCAGGGTCCGGCTCCCCACGCACGACGCCATCTCGTCCCCTCTCTCCCCTCGTCTCAGCGCGGCTGTGGTTGCGCGGGGCGGCGCGGCCCGAACCAGCCCGGCCGCCCGCCCGCCCGCGCCGCGTCCCGCCGAGCGCAGCCGAGCGGGGCAGCGCCGCGCCCGCCGCGCCGAGGGGCGGAGCTCGCCCCGCCGCGCCCACGAGCCGAGGGCGGGAGAAAGCAACGGAGAGCGGGAGGGGGGTGGCGGCACCACATAGTCCTTTTACAACACGCAGAGAGAAGGGCGCTGCTGCCTGCTTTCCCCCCCTCCGCTTCCTCCCGAGTGGTCTCGCCCGGGCCGGGCCGGGGAGCGGGGCGCACACGTGGGCCGTGCCGGGCCGTGCGACGCAGGTGAGGCCCCGGTGGGTCCCGCTGCTCCCGGGCCGGGCGGCACTGCCCCTTCTGTAGGCTGCATGCAGTGGCTGCCGGCGTGGGGAGCCCTGCGAGGGGAGGGCGGCGGGCGCGGCCCGACTCAGCCTCCTCGCCCTGTGGAGAGTGTGCGGTCGCGGCTTTATGCGGAGGGCCCCGTCCCCCTGGGAGGGTTTAGGTCCGGGCTGGGCTTCCCCCGTGCTCCCAAGGGAACGGCTGTCCTAGAGGGCGGCGGGCGGTGGCTCAGACCCGGCTCCTCCGTTTGTCGCGCGTTTAAAGCCTGAAGGCAGCTAGGTGGTGCTTTTTAGTGAGGGATTGCTGTAACGCCGGGGCGTTCACGCTCCCGGCTCTACGGCGAGGCGGGAGCGCCGGTGTCACTCCGCGGCCGTTCTGTGCCTGCAGGATGCCGTGCTGGTGATGGCTCTGTGGGCTCGGCACGCCTCCCGCTGGGCTTGCCTGCTGAGCGCGGCCCGTGCTGCTGAGCTCCCTCGGGGGCTCCGGAGCGGCGGCTGCCCCGCTCGGGCCTGCCGAGAGTTTGCCCGTCGCGCTGTGCTGCCCGCCGGGAAGGAGGCGGCTCTGTGCCGACTGCAGGCCTGCAGGCCAGTGTCCCTAGGGAGCTGTTCCCCGCCCGGCGGCGCCGAGGATGGATCCTGCTCTTCTCCGGAAAGTAACTTGCCTTCAGTACAACAGGAACGAGCAAAAGCAGAAATATTACCTGATCTGAATGCAAAAATACTGGACGAAGGTAAGAGGCTTTAAGGGATAGTATTTCTCCCAAATCCTCAAATTATGTTTTCAGTATGCTGCGGTTTAACCCCAGCTGGGTTCTCCTTTTTTGCCCTGTTTGCCTAGAATATGTGTTTGGAGTTCCTGACTTTCACTTCTGATTAGCTCCGTAGTTAATTGAGATAGTTATGGTCGATGTGGCATGCAAAGAATACCTTTAAAGTAAAATAAAGGTATAATGTTTTGGGTGGAAATGTAGGTCTGGAGCAGCCATTTTTTTTGAAGGAGTTTTCATAACCTTACCTGCATCTGCTGAGCATTTGCCTTTCCCTCACAGATGTGGTGGTACAAACTAAAGGGTTTTGGTTTGAGTTTTTTGGGTTTGGTGGTTTTTAAATTTTTTTGTGTGGTTTTTTTTGGTTTTTTTTGGTTGATTGTTTTGGGGTTTTTTTGCCTCGTTTTGGGGTGCTTTTTTGGGCTTTTTTGTTGTTGTTTGGTTTGTTTTTTTTTGCGGTTTTGTTTTGTTTTCTTGGGGTTTTTTTATTTTTTTATTTTGAGCGAGGCATGGAGATCGCACACCTGAAGCAGCTCACACTCCACGGTTTGAGGGATCAGGGCTGGCCAACAGGAGGCAGTGGTGTGAAACCTCCTTAAGCACTGCTCTGATGAGAAGTGCTCGCCCAACTGTGTTCTGAGACAAGGACACGAAAGGAGATAAATACAGCGGCGCCTTGGTGTTGTTGCCCTGAGGAAATTACTCACTTTTTCCCCCTATTTTTACATCTAAACAAGGATTATAATATTGCCATTCTTTCCAATTACTTTGTGTATGCTGAGGAAACTTGCTCTGAATTACTGAGCAGCCTTTTATGTTCAGATTCTGCTTTGAGCCCAGCCAGCCTGGATTATACAGAGTTTATTATTTGGGGTGGCTCAGACCTGCACCAGAGGTCTGTGTGCATAGCTGGTTCTGACCCAGTGCTGACCAAAGTGATGGGTCAGCAGCTGGTATGTGGCTGCACCTGCGATGCAGTTTATCCACTTGCCAGATTTTTATCTGCCAGCAGACTGACTGGAGGATGTGTGTGTGCGTGTAGCATTTTGCCCATTTGTCAGTTTATATAATGGAATAAACGTAATTGATCATTTTGGGGGGTTTTGGTATCATGGAAGTATCATTCCCAATAGGAAGTGTAAGGACCTTAAAGAGACAATAAAAGACATGCATGCATCTGGAATGCACTTTATTGTATATTGGTTTGGTCCTCAACAAGTAGAAAAAAAACACTTGATATTCCTATAGATTCCTAGAGAGTTCCTGTTCAATGTGTAAGTGTTGCTGAAAACATTTTACTGTGCTTTTGTTTCTGAGGCTGTGAGAAAAAGGCAAGACCTTCAACAGCTATGAAACTAGTCTGTGCAACTCTTCCTGGAGCATTAGGCACATCCTAATTACTTTGGAATTACTTGTAGTAGAGTTCTGGTGTGCCTTTGTTTCTTGACTTGGAAGAGTGTTACCCTGGTCTCTCAGAAGCCATTATACAAAGGTATAGAGCACTGAAAATCCCCTTCCTGAAGAGTTTATAATCAGGACATCTGATCAGTAATCAAATTGATGATTGATGTGGATGCTAGCCTGCGAACAGCAATCTTAATCTTGCTGCTGTGAGCTCCTATGACAATGGAAATATAGATCTGTTTAGAGAATGCTTTTTAAAGACACTTGTTTTTAAAGACACAAGTGTCACTTGGAACACTTAAGGGAAAACAAGCATAATGATGTTCCCTTTGAAACCTTAGTGAGTAGCAAGCTATTCCTTTTGCTATTAGAGATAGTGGCAGTGAGCTTTACCTTTCTGTAGTGGATAAGGCATAACAGCTTGGCTGGAGTTGGCTATGAAATACATTGAAAGTTAAAACAGCTGCATTTCAGACATCATATTCAGGAGAGCCACAAAATAGTGGGCTGGTGTGGTTATGAAAAATAGTCTTTGCAGTAGCCTTTTATCTGGCTGTCATCAGGCAAGAATGCATTTGTGAAGACATGAAAGACGATCCTTTTCCAGAGGATGATATGATCTATTGTCTGCAGTGGTCTGGGCAGCAGACTGAAGGCAGGCTTGCTGGGTACTACTGTCACTTGTGGCCATATGAGTAAAAGGTGATAGGCAGTGACCAGGAGGTGGAACAGAGGCAAAAACTGGGAGCAGAGTCTATGTTTTTATGTTTTCAAATAATAGGTTGGCTGTTTATCACATGGCACAGTGTTCCTGCATTTTGGAAAGGATTTTAAGAGATCTGTATAGCATTTGGTGGGAGCAGCTTTGTCTTTCACAAAATGCATTTGGGTCTTCTATATTTGTTTCTCAGACTGGGATGACATCCCACCTTCATCTGCTTTGGAAGTGATTTCTGAGGAAGAAGCTGTACAGATCATTGCAGAACCACTTCTCCCCATTCAGTCTTCCACGCTCCGAGATTATGTTGATCACTCAGAAACCCTTGCGAAACTTGTCCACCTAGGTATGTGTGATTTTGTTTGTGTGCTCTGCCTATAGCAGGAGCCTTGGAGATCCTGTAATTTCTGCTTTGCTCTTACTGGTTACCTCGTAAACTTGAAGGTGGGAACAGTGACCAGTAGTAAAAAGCTGCAGAATGTTATTTAGGGTGAACAGACAAAAACGGGACTGTATCACTAGCAATGCCATGCTACTGGGAAATAAAGCTGGCTGGTGTTAGTCCCTGAGTGCTGTGGGTGTTAGAAGGAGGCATCTCCCACAGCTTCAGGAGGTGGGGATCACTGTGTAACTTAATTGGTCTTTCTTCTTTTGGGCTGGTTAAGGATGCTTTAATTTGCTGCAAAACAAGGTGCAGCTCTTCATCCTTGGAAGGAAGGAAAGAGGATGGTTGGCATACATAACATTAGGAGTGAGGCACAGCACCCTGGAGAGGCAAGAGGGGAGGGATTGGCAAGAACCTTCTTTCTCATCCAAAAAAACACTTGGAGTACAGAGATACCCATGTTCAAGCTTTCTCACCACCATGTTGCCCAAACGTGCAAGGAAGACTGGAAAGAGGTTGTAGAAATTAATATTTGAGAGGGGGAATCTGTCCCCATGTAGTAGGAAATTGTCATGTGTGAGTGAGTATATAAAGTCACTTCACTGCAAAATTGTCATCTTCCCTTTTATAACAGATGTGGAAATTTCATGCACACATACTTCTGTGCAACAAGAGCAGGTCTCTAAATGTGGCACATGCAAGTTTCACTGCAAATGTCTTTCTTCAGAAAATAAACTCAGCAAAAGCTTCTAAAATGACTGCTTATTTTATCTGGAGTCTTTCCACAATATACAAGGTGGTGTAGCCTTGCTGTGTTGGGTAATTAAAGTATGCAAAATCAGTGCAAAAAATTGAGTAGACCTATAAATTCCAGCATGCCTTTGGGAAACACTTACAGAAAGCAGGGTCTGTGTTTAATTAAAACAACTTCTAATTTTGTTTGTTGTAGGAGTTGACTTATCCCAAGTGGAGAAACGTCAAAAGGCAGGTCAGCTCTTACTGACCTTGGACTTTGAAAAAGATGTAAAAAAAATACTTCTGTTTCTTAAGGATGTGGGTGTAGAAGACAATCAGCTGGGACCATTCCTGACCAAAAATCCATACATCCTTGGTGAAGATCTGGAAGCTTTAGAAACCAGGTAAGCCTTTTGAGTAGTAGCAGGGTGTTAAGCCCCTTGGCTTGAAGATCTGGCTCCCCAGTTGGTTTAACCTTGTCTGATGGAGCTGTGCTGCGTGCTGCCTCCTTTCTTACTCAGCCCCTGGCTCTGTATTCTTGTGCCTCCCCATCTGTTGGCACTAATGTGTGATGGTATCATAAGTCAACACCTTCATCCACCTGAAAACTGCCTAGTAACAAATTTTTACTGCCCATCCCTGTCTCTTTGCCACAGAGGAAGCAGCTTGCCACCTTAGGCCACTTGCTTAACTCGTGTCAACTTTCTTCCCAAAATGACATCCCTT